CTTATCTTCCCACCCACCATGTAAATTTGAAAAAACACAATCATATCTTTCCCCCCACCATTATTCCTAAAATACCCTTTAATTATTAATTTATTCAAATTCTCTATGTTTTTTTTAGTGGAAAAGATGTATTTATTTCAATAAAACTGAAACCGATTACAGCATATCCTCCTCAACCAACAAGTTCTCAATGAAAGCAGGAGAGTCTCTATCCCATGAGAACATGTTAATTGATGAAATAGTGAAATATGCAAGACCATGTGAGTGGTATTGGCATCTCTAGAAACAAAACAAACTGAAGAATTATTTAGTTGCTGAAACAAAAAATGACAGTCATCGATTGATACTCCTATTGATGAGTTGTCTGCAATGTTAGATCATTATTAAAATAACTTTAACCCCAGATCTATCATCCTCGCCCATCTCCAACACCAACACCAACACCAAACTCCTCCTTACCCTTCAAAAAGCCAACATGTTATTACTACAAAAATGAAAATCAATTAACCCAGCCTAAAGAGACAGAGACAGAGAGATAGAGAGAGATGAGAGGAAAAGAGGATTTGTCGGCGGCACGGGGGGAGGGGGTCGCTGCTGGCGGGTGGGATGGCTGACAAGTTAGGTGAGGGTGGACGAGCTTTGGTGGCTCTTGGGTTTTTGGTTTTGTTTTTAAGAATTAATTTTAGTTTTTTTTTAGTTATTAAAAGTGAACATTGTCAAAAAAAAATTAGAGAGTCCTTAGAAGTCATTTTATGAATGGGTAAATTAGTCTTTAAAATTTTGAAAATAGGGTGGGAAAATAGGACAGGTGGGAAAATAAGGTGGGTGGGAAAATAGGACAGGTGGGTGGAAATAACAGCATTCTTTAGTGTTCTCTCATGATATGTTCTTTCTTTTTTCTTTTTTTTTTTTGACGAAAACTCTCATGATATGTTCAGTTTCATAATGTTGTCATGATATTGACTAGAACCAAAAATATGTACAATGTATGTTGTCATGATATTGACCGGGCCCCACAAAGAAAATGTTGTCATCTTAACGACAGAACTGGCCACCCTTGGCTATAAATTTAGAAGCTTAAGCTTGCTATAAATATAGGTGCTTCCCTGCAAGCATTATCACACCAGTCAAACAAAACTTGAAACATCTTCCAAACTCCCATTGTTCCTGCTGCTCTCTCTGTGTCCTACACTTCTTCTCAAACTATTTGAACATTACAACTTTTGAGAGATGAATTTGGATCACTTGCCCGGAGACTGCTTTGCGCATATTTTATCATTTACATCTCCCGGAGATGCATGTCGTTGTTCATTAGTTTCGTGGTCGTTTCGCACCATGGCTGATTTGGATAGCGTGTGGGAGAAATTTCTGCCATCCGACCATGCTGAAATTCTATCCAGATTAGTATGTCCAATAACTTATTCCTCTAACAAAGAGTTGTTTATCAGGTTATGCAGTCCAAATCTAATTGATGGTGGTAAGAAGGTAAACTTTCAATTATTATATGCATTTAATTTGATTTTAAAATGACAACATCATAATTAAAGAATTCTCATTCAAGTTAGAATGAACCTAATGAATGAGTTTGAATATATTTTTTTATTTCGATTTTTGTTTTTTCTTTTCAATCTTTTTAAGTTAGTGTTGTGTGATGCCTCAAGGTTGCCTACGCATAATATGATTCAAATATTAACCATATATATGCAAAAATATATACAGGGTCAAGAAATTGATCCAATATTTGACTATTATTGCATTTTGCAGCCTTTGTTCAAAGAGTATGCTTTTGCATTGACAGGCGGTGGATCAAATATGAATTATACAATCAACTAAAATTCATATTTGTTCCACTGCCTGCGGATGCACTAGTGGCTTTAGGAGGCTATACCACAAAAGGGTTTTAATTATATGGTTAAATTATGATCAAATAATAATTTTCCTGATTGATGAACAACAGATGTTCTCAATAGAGAAATCAACAAGGAAAAAATGTTACATGTTAAGTGCAAGGGATGTTTCAATTACATGGGCATGCAATCCTCTGTATTGGACCTGGAGACCTCTTGTTGAATCAAGGTTTGCATTCTCTAATTAAGCCTTCCTTACTTACACTTTCAATAAAGCTTAAATGTTATTAATCTTGAAAACAACAATTCAGATTTGCAGAGGTTGCTGAACTCAGAACCATTTGGTGGCTGGAAATATGTGGCACAATGAACACTCAAATGCTGTCACCAAATACAGTCTACGGGGCCTATCTTATTGCCAAGTTGGCTGATCGTGCGTATGGCTTCGACTCTTTGCCATCTGAGGTTTCACTTGAAGTTGGTAACTTCAAATCACAAGGTACAGTTTACTTGAGCACACGCCATGATCAAAGTAGGAAGCAAGCTGCTGCTGCTGCTGATTTAGAACATGAACATTTTTCGAAGCGGATCAGAGCTTTGAGATGGAGGGTTTTAGAAGGAGATCATGGAGGAGGTCTCTGTGAGCGCAAAGATGGCTGGATGGAAGTAGAAATAGGAAGCTTTTACAATGAAGGTTGTGCTAATAATGATGTAAAGATGAGCCTAAAAGAAGTGAAGGGTGCCCATCTCAAAGGTGGACTTATTGTTGAGGGAATTGAGATTAGGCCAAAAATTTAATGCATGTACGGCATTAATTTTGAATAAAGTTTCTCAATTATGAATGGATTTTAAGTACTCGAACTTGAACTTACAATTGAAGTATAGAAAAATCTGAACACAATGGTCCCTTTTCTTTTACTTTTCGCAGTAGAATACGATTCTTCCACTTTCGTTTTGGACGGTTGCATTTGAGAATTAAATGGCAACATTTGTTACTTGTTATCTCATTCCTTTATTATTTTCGGACAATTTTATGAAATTTATGGTAAGCTTCATATTCCACAAGCAAAGTTAAATTCGGGGGTGTTAATGTAAATAACTCTTGTCAATTCCACGAGCAAAGTTCATTGCTGCATGAATTAAAAGTCGAGCATAGTTTGCATTGACAAAAGGAAACAATACTAGAAGAACACATAAACATCAAATATAAACTTTGCCTATTTGTAAAACAAAATATTGGGAATGTTATGTGAGCTCAGATGTATGTGGATAGAGCCTTTTCCCGGACCACAAAAGGTCTCATAATGAGCTGGGATTCACATTTATCCTCATTGCAAAAATAATAATACTAACTAAATAGAAACAAAACAAAGTATAATCATCCAAAACCAAGAAGAAAAAAAATCAATATTAGCATAAGTTTATGAAAATAAATGGATACTAAACCACAGGAACACAGATTAAACATAAACATCAAAAAAATTAAGAAAAATATAGATTAAGAATGTTTTTCTGGGCTCAGATGTATTGGATCTATCCTATTCCCGGACCACAAAAGGTCTCATAGAGCTGGGATTATCATTCATCATCATTGCAAAACCATAATTAATAAATAATGATAATTTAACAGAAATAAAGAAAACAGAGTAAAACCCTATATCAGAAAATCGATCAAGAACTAGAGAAGAAAAGGTTAAAGAAAGACGCCTAGGTTTCCTTGGAAGAGGAGGACGGAAGAAGAGCGTATGCGACGGCCACAAACTGGTGACTGAAACAATAGGGTTTAAGCCGATATATAAGAAGGGAATCATAAGTTTTCTTAATTTCCCATTATGACCCTAGGGATTTGCATGAATTACAAATTTGATTTGGGTAGTTGACAACAACTGGGCCCATTGTTAGAAACCCAATACTGTATTTTTGTGTCTAACTAATCACTATTCAAGGCCCAATCGGAAGGGAAAAGGCTTTCCTACTTATAATAGGAACTCTACACCTTATAAATAAGGAGCCATTCATTCCTTCTTGAAGGCAGATCACATTCAGAAACTAGGACTTTTCTCGTCTCTCTTGCTTCGCCTTCTCCAACTAGGGCTCCAAGTGAGATGGCTTTAATGGAAAGAACTCCAGGCAGATGGCCACGTCCTGTTTGGCATGCTCCTTGGAAGATGTACAGGGTCATTAGCGGCCACTTGGGATGGGTACGATCCATTGCCTTTGATCCAAGCAACAAATGGTTCTGCACCGGCTCTGCAGATCGCACGATCAAGATATGGGATGTAGGAACCGGAACCTTACAGCTCTCACTGACAGGACACATTGAACAAGTACGAGGACTTGCTGTTAGCAGCAGGCACACCTACATGTTCTCTGCCGGCGATGACAAGCTAATTAAATGCTGGGACCTCGAACAGAACAAGGTTGTCCGTTCATATCATGGTCATCTGAGCGGTGTTTACTGCTTGGCGGTTCATCCCACGCTTGATATTTTACTCACCGGTGGACGCGATTCTGTGTGCCGGGTTTGGGATATTCGAAGCAAGGTGCAAGTTTTGCGTTGTCGGGGCATGACGACACAGTTTGCTCAGTTTTTACTCGACCGACAGATCCACAAGTTGTCACTGGCTCTCATGACTCAACCATCAAGCTCTGGGACTTGAGGTATGGGAAAACAATGTCAACGCTTACACACCATAAGAAATCTGTGCGTGCAATGGGGCAGCATCCTAAAGATATCAATTCTTTCGCATCTGTATCCGCTGACAACGTGAAGAAGTTCAACCTTCCGAACGGCGAATTTTTGCACAACATGCTGTCTCAGCAGAAAACTGTAGTTAATGCAATGGCTGTGAATCGGGATGGTGTCATGGCAACTGGAGGTGACAATGGGAGTGTGTGGTTTTGGGATTGGAAGAGCGGTCATAATTTTCAGCAATCGCAAACAATTGCGCAGCCTGGCTCGCTGGATGGTGAAGCTGCCGTATATGCTCTTTCCTATGATATAACTGGTACAAGGCTGGTCACTTGCGGAGCTGATAAGACGATCAAAATGTGGAAAAAGGACCAAAATGCCACTCCAGAAACCCATCCTCTCAATTTCAAGCCTCCTAAAGATATTCGACGGTTCTAGTTTAAGATCTTCCTTTGTTGTTGCTCTGTTCGGTGACATGTGTAATGCTGTTGTTTTAATCGAAGTGTAATAATGTTTTACTGGAGTGATTTGCTATCTGCTTGTTGTTATGAGATGAATTATACAAATTTTGATGTGTTAGTTGACCAACAAAATAACTGGAGGTGACAATGGGAGTGTGTGGTTTTGGGATTGGAAGAGCGGTCATAATTTTCAGCAATCGCAAACAATTGCGCAGCCTGGCTCGCTGGATGGTGAAGCTGCCGTATATGCTCTTTCCTATGATATAACTGGTACAAGGCTGGTCACTTGCGGAGCTGATAAGACGATCAAAATGTGGAAAAAGGACCAAAATGCTACTCCAGAAACCCATCCTCTCAATTTCAAGCCTCCTAAAGATATTAGACGGTTCTAGTGTAAGATCTTCCTTTGTTGTTGCTCTGTTCGGTGACATGTGTAATGTTGTTTTTTTAATCGAAGTGTAATATTGTTTTACTGGAGTGATTTGCTATCTGCTTGTTGTTATGAGATGAATTATACAAATTTTGATGTGTTAGTTGACCAACAAAATACTCATAGTTTTTGTTTTTGTTTTTTTTTATTTATTTATACTAACGATAAGGAGTTTAATCCAACCATCCAATAATAAATCTGCACCGAATGGGACTATTAAGAACCCCTGTGTAGACTCTAGACTCTAGAGGACATAAAAGAGAAGGCTATGGTCTGGCCCGATAACAAAACACAATGAATGGGCTTAATCCACAAGAAGACGGATGAGACCCGACCCGAATAAATCACAACATAGCCAGCGCCTTATCATTAGATCATTCGTTCGACTTGCGCATCTGAGACTCAGAGAGACTTCTCTGCTGAACTATCTCGATCTAGAGACGTCGGCTCATTTCCATAGGAGATTCTGAGATTTCGCTGCAAAATGGAGGACACGGAAGGCCGAGATGGACTAAGGATTCGAAGATGGAGGTTTTTGGGGAGGCCAGCATACGAACCGTCGTCGTCGTCGCCCTTGGTGTTCGCATCACGACGGATCTGGGAGAAATTTGCATGAAATCTTCGAAAGCGTAAATCTCTTACTCTCTTCTTTGAATTCATCAATCTCTAGCACATCTCAAATCCTAACTCTTGAGGACCTATCCCTAACCCTAATTTACCATTTCATTTTACCTTGTTTTAGATCGAAGAAATTTGTGCATACGAACCGTCGTCGTCGGCCTTGGTGCTCTCGATCTGCGAGAAATTTGCATGAAATGTAGGTCTCCCACTCTTTTCTTTAAATTCGTCAATCTCTAGCATGTCTCAAATCCTAAAGCTAACCCTAATTTATCATTTCATTTTACTACCCTGTTTTAGATCGCAGAAGCTTGTGATCGGCCTCAATCTCCGAGACCTTGGCTGGGTTGCGTAAAGAGAAGCATCTTCAGATCCATTCATTGCATAGCTTCCACTTCCAGCGAAGATCTTCAGGTGAATGTTTGAAATTTGTGGTTCTCTCTACCTCCTTCTCGCATCTGCATGCATGCTTGCAAGATGCACATATATAATGCATATAACTTGCCTTAATTTGTTCTTTTTCCTATTTGATTTCTGGACTAAGAGTACATGAAACTGGTTCACGTGTGATGTGGTATATTGTAAAGAGGAAACAAGTACAGAGGACGAGAGTACATGAAACTGGTTCACGTGAGATATGATGAGGAATATCCTGTCAAGACTGCCTCCCTCTGATGCGATTTAGATGCGTCCTCAGTCGTGGCACGAACTCATCAATAAACCTAGCTTCGTGGACCAGCACCTTTCCACTTCCATGCACAACAAAAGTCTCAGACGTAGTTTTTTACCAGCACCCTTCCGAAGTAGAGGTATACAACTTGGCCGCCGATACTTGGAGAGAGATCCCTGTTGATCATGACATCCACCCTTATGGCTCTGCAAACCCGTCTTACCATATGTACTTCAAAGGATTCTTTTACTAGATCGCATGTTGGAAGGAACGAGGAAATGCCATCCTTTGATTTGACATGAGCGAGGAGGTGTTTCATGACATTGCTCTTCCAGAGAGAGAACCAGATGCATATGAATACACAAGCATTGCAGTGTGGAAAGACTCTCTGGTTCTTTTGACCTAACCGGTGGAAAACGAAGCTCCTAAAACCCTAGACTTGAAAGGTGCTAAGGGTTTGTGGACAGCTATAGGACCTGTGGAGGGCGTTGAGGGTCCATTGGTGTTTTGGAAAGATGAGGAGGTTATTATGGTTACCCCTAATGGGAATGTGGTCAACTATAGCCTTGATACACAAAAGCTCAAGCATGTTCACTGCCATGGCTTGGGAGAGCCAACCAAATTCCAAGCTGTTCCTTAGGTGAATAGTATTGTTTCAATTAAGCCAGGCAACAAGATTGAGAGCATATAGATAATGCTATAACAAAGCTAGGAACATTATTTCTCACCTTGTCCATCAAGGATGACATTTTGTTGAAATAATTCCTTTTCTCATGTTATGTACATACTTTTTTCTTCTTTCGATTTGTCTTTGAAACATTTTGAATCAGTTTAGATATAAATTACCGGAAGATTATATCTAGATAAATGTAACATAACATGTCTGAAGTTTAGTATTAAATAATCTAAGGAAAATGCATCTTATATGTAGTTTGGTGACTGCCACTTAAGTCAAATGGTGGTGTTATCAGTTTTCTTTGCTTTTGCAGAGATGATGCGGCAAGCAGGTGTAGGAGGGAAATCATCATCTCCGAAGGATCGAGCTTTAAATAGGCAGAGAGAGCGAACTAGGAGTTGGAGTTGGAGTTTTGGAGATAAATATACCTGGCGCTCCAGTTTACCAGCTCCATCCTCTCCATGTGGGAAACAGCAGTGCTGCTACATCCGGTTCAATTCCTCATTGTGCAACCTATAATGATGCCCTTGTATGTTCTATATCAAAGGCCAAGCTAGTGATTGCAAGCAGGGCTGCATAAAGCAATGATCTCAAGTTGTTGGATATAAATATATAGATTCTTTTTGGGGGTTTGGGGAGGAATCATACAGTGCATAGAAATTGTATTATTGATGTAGTAATCTGGATCTATGGCACAGGCTAGATAGATAGTATACAAGGACTTGATGTCACTTTTTTTATGTGTGTTTTTTATTCTTGTGATTAATGGATTACAAAATGGTTTCCTCTGTGCGTAAGTTCCGGTGTTGTGCATACAGCAGTAACTATATAGTTGAATTTGAGTTTTATCCCAAACCCATATATACTGAGATGTTACCTCAAAACTCAAGGGCCTATTTTTAAAAACTCAAACTCAAGAACAACTAAAAAACACCCAATTATTAAAAACAAAAAAATATCTGTTTTTTCAGTTTTTTTCTAACAACCCACAAGTTCTCAAATTTTTAAGATTTGAAAACAGTTTTCAAGTTGCACACCAAACAAGTTTTTGAATCTTAAAAATAGATTTAAGAACTCCTTGTTTTTAAGAAAAATCAAAGTTTTTGAGTTTCCCATTTGAATAGGATACCCGTTCGGTAGCGTTTTCTTAGAATATTTTCAGAGAATGAAAACAAGAAAACGAATTTGCATTTTCAGGAAATGGAAATGCGTCTGGTAGATTAATTAGAAAACATATTCATAAAACAAAAACAATGAAAACGTGTTTGGTAGTACAATTTGAAATAATAAATGTGAGTTATTTTTATGAAAACATTTCCCATGAGAATGAAAACAACTTTTTTCTATTTTCTACAAGTACACATGAACTTGTTTTCATTTTATGAAAACATTCTCAATGTTTTCTATTTTTGGGGCACCGAATGTGTTTTTGCTTCATTTTTGTTCTCTGAAAATGAAAACAACCCCTTAAAACGTTACCGAACGAGCCCCAAACGCCCGAGGGGCCCAAATATCATAAAAGATAGGGAGCTTCTAAAATGAGGGACTATATTAAGGGATTACAATAAGGAGTTTAATCCAACCATCCAATAATAAATCTGCACCGAATGGGACTATTAAGAACCCCTGTGTAGGAGACTCTAGACTCTAGAGGACATAAAAGAGAAGGCTATGGTCTGGCCCGATAACAAAACACAATGAATGGGCTTAATCCACAAGAAGACGGATGAGACCCGACCCGAATAAATCACAACATAGCCAGCGCCTTATCATTAGATCATTCGTTCGACTTGCGCATCTGAGACTCAGAGAGACTTCTCTGCTGAACTATCTCGATCTAGAGACGTCGGCTCATTTCCATAGGAGATTCTGAGATTTCGCTGCAAAATGGAGGACACGGAAGGCCGAGATGGACTAAGGATTCGAAGATGGAGGTTTTTGGGGAGGCCAGCATACGAACCGTCGTCGTCGTCGCCCTTGGTGTTCGCATCACGACTGATCTGGGAGAAATTTGCATGAAATCTTCGAAAGCATAGCGTAAATCGATTACTCTCTTCTTTGAATTCGTCAATCTTTAGCTCATTTCAAATCCTAACTCCTGAGGACCTATCCCTAACCCTAATTTACCATTTCATTTTACCTTGTTTTAGATCGAAGAAATTTGTGCATACGAACCGTCGTCGTCGGCCTTGGTGCTCTCGATCTGCGAGAAATTTGCATGAAATGTAGGTCTCCCACTCTTTTCTTTAAATTCGTCAATCTCTAGCATGTCTCAAATCCTAACCCTAACCCTAATTTATCATTTCATTTTACTACCCTGTTTTAGATCGCAGAAGCTTGTGATCGGCCTCAATCTCCGAGACCTTGGCTGGGTTGCGTAAAGAGAAGCATCTTCAGATCCATTCATTGCATAGCTTCCACTTCCAGCGAAGATCTTCAGGTGAATGTTCATTTTGAATCAGTTTAGATATAAATTACCGGAAGATTATATCTAGATAAATGTAACATAACATGTCTGAAGTTTAGTATTAAATAATCTAAGGAAAATGCATCTTATATGTAGTTTGGTGACTGCCACTTAAGTCAAATGGTGGTGTTATCAGTTTTCTTTGCTTTTGCAGAGATGATGCGGCAAGCAGGTGTAGGAGGGAAATCATCATCTCCGAAGGATCGAGCTTTAAATAGGCAGAGAGAGCGAACTAGGAGTTGGAGTTGGAGTTTTGGAGATAAATATACCTGGCGCTCCAGTTTACCAGCTCCATTCGTATTTGTACTTGTGTTTAAATTGTGCAAGTTGTTTTTTGCATGGTATGTTTTAGCTGCAATTCTATGTTTTGTATGTTTACTTTGTTAGAGTAAGCGAGAGAGCTTTAGAATATTAGAAAGCAATGAGTCAGAATATCTAGGAGGAAGTAAAGTTTTGAAGTTATGATGAATGCAGTACAGTATAGGCTATAGCAGCCTGAATATGATAATGGTCATAGTTTTGTATGCTATGTCGAATTCATGCTTAAAATCAGGAATCATACAGTGCATAGAAATTGTATTATTGATGTAGTAATCTGGATCTATGGCACAGGCTAGATAGATAGTATACAAGGACTTGATGTCACTTTTTTTATGTGTGTTTTTTATTCTTGTGATTAATGGATTACAAAATGGTTTCCTCTGTGCGTAAGTTCCGGTGTTGTGCATACAGCAGTAACTATATAGTTGAATTTGAGTTTTATCCCAAACCCATATATACTGAGATGTTACCTCAAAACTCAAGGGCCTATTTTTAAAAACTCGTTGGCTTGGCTGCTTGGTACTTATTGGGTTTCCTTTGTCTAGGCCCAAACTTTTCGGTTACACCCCCATTAATTGCAATTTGGGAGGGACTAGTATTTTTGATATCATTTTTCGGGGATCAGTACTTCCGCAATTTTGGCCCAAAAGTTGCTAACTCGTTCCAAGAAATTTACGCCATTGTGTATTTTATCGGTTTTTCATCTGTATTTTTTTGCCAATACTTGATATTCTTTTCTGCAGCTATGCTTCTGTTTATATGAATTAATTTGGTTGTTATCTGTTTTTTTTTTAACAGCCCTTAAGTAAAGGTTGAAAATGCAAAAAGGTCCCTGCCGAGAAGGCATGGGTTTGTATAAGATGAAGCGAAGGTCGCTGCTGAGAAGGCTTGGGATCTTGAACAGCACGGAATGCTTTTTTGTGTGTGCGCGCGTTTCTTTTTTAATTTTATAATTCTTTCAGCTCATATAATGAATAAGGATAATGAATTACTGAAAACAAAAACAATTAGATAGCAGGTAAAAACAATTCCATGATATGGAAATATGACATTAAGACGGCTACACCTTTAGCCGGTAACAATTATTTGGACAGTTTCCCGGCCTTTTCATGTTTTTGGTCCTAGTTTCACAACAGAGGGACCAATCACTTGAAACTGGACCCAGAAGTTGGCGCACAAGTAGTGAAACAGGACCTACAAAGGGAAAGACGCCCAAAAGTGGCTCAATAAGGACAAAATAGGCCTACTGGAAGGCTCAGTAACCACCACATAGGCCTACTGAAAGGCTCACGAACGAAAAAATTGGCCCACTGAAAGCCCCATAAAGACCTATAAATGACAAAATAAGGCCAATGAAACGTCAGAAACGACAAAATAGGCCCACTGAGGGCTCTTTAAACGAAAAAAAGGCCCCAAATGACAAAATGGACCCAATGTCCGCCTCAAAAACGGTAACATTAGCCCAATCGACTACTGAAAACGACAAAATTGACTCAATGAGGCCGAAGAAGCGACAAAATAGGCCCACCAAAGGCCTCAGAAACGACAAAATACGGCCAGTAAAAGCCCCGGAAAAGACAAAATAAGCCCAGTTAAGGACTCATAAACGACAAAATAGGCCCAGTTATAGCCTCAGAAAAGACAATTTAGGCCCAATAATGGCCTCAGAAACGACAAAATACCCTAATATGGACCAGAAACGACAAAATAGGCCCAGTGAAGACTCAGAAACGACAAATTAGGCCCATATAGATTTCAGAAACGATAAAATAGGCCCAATATCTGTTCAGAAACGACAAATTAGGCCCGATAAAGGTTTCAGAAACGACAAAATAGACCCAGAAAAGGCTTGAGAAACGACAAAATAGGCCTAATATAGGGCCGAACACGACAAATTAGGCCCAGTCAAGAAATCAGAAACGACAAAATAGGCCCAATTGGGCCAAGAAAAGACAAAATAGGCCCAATTGGGCAATGAAAACGACAAAAGAGGCCCAATCGAGTTCTGGAAAAAGACAGAATGGGCCCATTTAAGGCACATAAACGACAAATAGGCCCAATATATTTACAGAAACGACAAAATAGACCTAGTAAGGCTTCAGAAACGACAAAATAAGCCTAGTATAGGGCCTGAAAACGACAAAATAGGCCCAGTGAAGACCTCAGACACGACAAAATAGGCCCAATCGATTCGGAAAACGACAGAATGGGCCCATTTAAGGTACATATACGACAAAAATAGGCCGAATATATGTGTAGAAACGACAAAATAGGCCCAGTAAAGTCTCAGAAACGACAAATTAGGCCCATAAAGCATCAGAAACGACAAATTAGGCACAATAAAGGCTTCAGAAACGACAAAATAGGCCCAATTGGTTCAAGAAAACGACAAAATAGGCCCGCTAAAATCCTCAGAAACGACAAAATAGGGCCAATCGAGTTTGGAAAACGACAGAATGGGCCCATTGAAGGCATATAAACGACAAAATAGGCCCAATATAGGGTCATAAACGACAAAATAAGTCCATTGAAGGGCCAGAAACGACAAAATAGACCTTTTGGGCGTTATTGGGCCTATTTGTTGTCTAGTGTTCAAGTTACTGGGCTGAGTTCTGAGCCCATTTGAACGTTATTGGGGCGACTTTTGGGGCCTTTTCGCAGGTAATTGGGCCCATATTTGGGCCTGCCTTCAAGTTAGTGAGCCTGTATTCAATTTGTTGGCCCGTTGTCAGGTTGTTGGGCCAATATATGCGCTTAATTTCATGTAATTGTATGTCTAGACCTTCGTTATTGGGAAAATATCACTTTTGGGCAACCAACCTTCTGGAGGTTTGGGGCCTATTTAATGCAAGTTTATAACTCCAGTGGTGAAATATTGAGCGAGTTATATCAAATTTGATTTTACTAAATTTAATTTTTTTATCAATCGACCCAATTTTTAAAATAATGAGTTTGGAACGGTGAATGGATCCTCCATCAACAATACTAGAGAAAATTTGATGATACTGAAACACGGAATCGGACCTACTGGGAATTATGGGGCAGACCATTCAGTAATCCAGTGTTTTAACTCCTAACATGTAATGACGTTTCCATTTTAAAAGAAATTAAAATATCGGCTGCAAATTGAAAAAAAAATAATAATCGAAATACTTAATCACAGAACTAAAACAAACTAAACAAAAAATAGATTAGAAAACACTTGGAAAAACCATGCCAGCCGTGCTTCCACTCCAATCCTCTTTCCCATTTGACTTTCATCCTTTCCCTTCATTTTAGAGAGAGAGAGAGCATGCAATGCGGAAAAAAAAACTGCAAACAATGACGGAAATTTGAAAAAGGCCAGAGAGAAAGAAGTGGATGTGGAACAAAGTAACACACTTGGATAGCGACCCAAATTAAGTCATGTAAAACCAAATGATATCACCTTCATGCTTCACAATTAAAAAAAAAGGTTTTTTTAGTTAAACAAGAAACTTTAGTTGGAGCAAGAAGAAAAGCAAGATTGAATGCATTATAGAGGCAGGAAAGAAACCTGTGAAATAAGGTTAAGCAACTGCTACACTGTTTGAAGGAAACCCATCCGTAAAATGTAACATCCCATAACCAAACTTGAACGTCAATGAGGCTGAGTGGGCTCAGTTAAATGTATGACCTGCACATTCATCAATAAGGAATAAGAACCACAACGATGAAAAGGGGGGAAAATAAAGTCTGCCAGGAATATAAAGGGCCTTTTCTCATTACCAAATCAATTTTGTGCATAGAAATGTAAAAATGCCAGCCACTAATGATTCATATATACAAACACACATGTACTAGACGCATCAAACAGACACCAAGCATGTAGATTACGATGACAGTCACCGTACGAAGAGACAAACTAAAAGTGCTAAAAGAGAATGGATGTGCTAAAAGTGGATGCATGACCGTCAGGTAAGATAACCTGCTTGGATGCATGACTGGACATCAAAATGTGAGACTTTATGCATTATAAGCATCACTGACCAGAAGGCCAGCAAACCACCACATCATATGAGGCGAGTTCCATAATAGAATCTACAGAGATTTAAAAGGGAATCCATATAACTCTCAAGCCCTAAACTGAATAGAACTAAAAACTGTCCCACTTATAAAATGAAAACCTAAAGCGCATATACCCTAGGGAGTTATTCGTGCATATTCCATAGACAAATTGAAAACCGAATGCTCGTTTTCAATCAACTCAACAATGGTT